TTAAATCTTCTCTTCCGTCAACTACATCCTTGAATCTGGAAATACATCAATTCGGACGTATCTTTGGAGTGAATATGAAACCTGCAACGCAGATCATGAACCAAAAACCACGATCACTGAAATACTGATTAAAAAATTCGAATAAAAATCGATGGATGGATGAGTGGATGTGGTGAGTTGCAGTGATTGCACGCTGAAAGAAACAATTTCAGCAAATCCAAAAAAAGTAATCCAAAAGAGTAATTATTATACTGCAAAGAATAGAATGTGCTCAAGAGAACATCAACGAACAAATGCTTGTTATATGATGCAGTCAAAATGAAACAATAATATCGAATATATATAAATTATAACTAATATCGAATCAAAAAATGTGTATAACAACAAAACAGTGTAATGATTAGTGTTATAATTATCAAAAGTTATGCTTACTTAAGCATATAATGAGACCAATATATGAAATGAAGACAATTGAGAAGCGTTGTGAAGATAATTGTTTGAAAATTCATTTTTCAGTTGTTTAACCGCAACTGTGAGTCAGTTTGTCGGGAAATGCAGTCAGTTCATTTCACTTGTTATATATTTGGTTTGTATAACAGTAGATGCAAATGATAGTTGTGATTAGAGGACGATAAAAATCAGCAGTTTCCTCTAAAGGAACAGTTTTCAAAGAAAATTTTGTTTCAGCGAGAATGTTGTTCACAATGAAATACTCAACAGAACGTTTTCTCATTGAATCATACTTTCAATGAGCGCAGCACCATTGATAAGATGGCTTTTTGAATTGTTTACGAAGCCTATTCATGAGATGTTTCATAGCGAGCCCGCATAGCCTTCATTGATTATAGAAATATACCCTAGAAATATACATTTAAAAAATGCGCTTTAAAGCAGACAATAACATTAAGCAAAAAGAAGTGGAAGAAATTGACGAAGAAACCCTTCTACTCTGTCCATGAAATATATGCAGTTGCTCTTTGTTGACCATTTAGAGAAATATTTTAGGTATGACACAACTTGAAACGATCGAATAAATTTTCATTTGAAGCTGAATGATCTCCGAATGTGTAAGGATAAATCAGACGTGCAATTTATGGCGTNAGATGAGATCGTACGAAAAGAAGTGATTTTAGGTATTAAGTTTTGATCGTGGCACGTTAAGTTTTGAAATTTAGTAATTTTACATGAGAAGTGGACTGATTAATTATGTTGAGTAGAAGGGTGTTATNAGATGAGATCGTACGAAAAGAAGTGATTTTAGGTATTAAGTTTTGATCGTGGCACGTTAAGTTTTGAAATTTAGTAATTTTGGATGAGAAATGGACTGATTAATTATGTTGAGTAGAAGGGTGATGTTATAATTTAATGAGAAGAAAGAAAAAGCATTGAATGAGATACTGAAATTTGATGACGAGATTAGAACGGGGTAAGAATATGGTGTTAACGCGGTGACTGTGCGATGCTTGATAAGGAAGACATCGTTCTCGTGGACGGTACGGGACTGCTTGATCCTCCATGACCAGGGCTGTACGCACCACTGTTCAAACCTTCTTTGAAGAAGCGGAAACTGCAACCAAACAGTAATCACTCGTATATGCAAATTACTAGCTATTCAATAGAGTGCATTAATATCGTTTTGATATGATCACTTAACAAGTTTTGTATGACCACCAGCCATCTAATGGGGTCGTATCCATATAGCCCAGTGGTTCTCACGTTCGGGTGCTTTATGACCCCTTTTGATGATCTGACGGCCGCCTTTATCCCCTTCCCCCTTTGAATATGGAAATCGCACATGTTAAGTTTAGATGACCGTTACGTTCGATCTTATTAGCATGTTCAGGATGGTAATCGACATCGCTGGGCCTTCGCTTACGTTGTGTTTACGTTGTCTTAGACCGTTGTGTTCCTCAGTATTGCAATCGATTATGATTGCATGAAAAGCTATTGTCTGTGNCGAAATCAACAATGCAGCAATAAAATATAATTGCTCAACAACGTTCAGCAATCAAATGATCAGTTATAGAGTGTATTTGATAGAATGAGAATTCGATTTTGATTGTTGAGTGAAATGAATGAGAAATTAGTAGAAGAGAACACTTTTGGTGATAAAAGCTATGAGAGCGATTGTAGCAGCAAGGAAAAGAATGAGAACCCTGTTAAAACTAATGAAAATCCTTTCAGGCCCTTACGAGATAATGATACTCAAAAAATAGGAGAATATTGCCATTAACTAATAGCACTTACAAATCTAAATTTAAAAAACACCGTCACAATGGCGTTCTATCATAACATAACAACTGCACGGAATACTAATTTCCCGACCTCCTCCATTATCCTTGGAGACCTCCAAATTACCCAAAATAGGTCACTTTAGCCCTATGAGAACCACTGATATAGCCCAATGCAGTGTTTTCAATGCAAACTATCACATTTTGACGTTCCTCAGAATATTGCTATTGGACTAATATTGGGGAGAGTGAGCACAGAGCGGAATGATTATAGTCGAATTAAATACCGAATGTCATCAAAATTTTGAACGATGAATTATGATAAGTTACCGTTAGTCATTACCGAATAACCGTTAAATTTTTTCCTTTCCCATCAAAAAGTTCATTTCAACTCTTATTGTTTTTGTGCCACCAGCGAGTTATTCTATAAGAAATCACTGTTGAAATCAACGCAAATTTAGCAAACATCCTGAGATGTGAATCAATGCTGCTCTAGTGATACTGGCCAAATATCCAGTTATGGTCGGTCGCGGCACCAAAGCAATATTAATAGAGGGCGAGGAGGGTGGAGGCCCTAGTTAATATGGCTGTTTGATTAGAGCAGATAATGGATGAATGAGGAGTAATACTGCCTGATTATTAAATTATTGACAGTCGCAGTAGGATGGTTGTATTCATGCTAAGTGCACTAAGTGCATATATCCTGCCCGAAATTGCAAAAGGTACGAAAACAACTCGTGAGAGTGAACAACTAACAATTTACGAACGCCACTGTCCTTCCGTTCGTATTTCCACGGATAAAGTTTCTCTTCTGGCTCTTTATTGATTGGACCATACACAACGTACTCTTCGGAATCGGATGGCCTGAACATTCGAGGAAACGATTCAATTGTGCGCACTGAGCATTAAGCTTGCATCAATCAGTTCAGACTAACTAATCCCTCAAAGTTGAAAGTAACCTCATCTCTGAAAGTTTTCCGTTGGAGCTTTTCACTTTATCTGCAGCTAGTTTTTGTTTATTATTAGCAAGTTAGATAGTGAATTAATGCATTGACGATTAGAGGACAGTCATACGGAAATGATGAAATAAAGAACGAAACAAACTTAGTTTCAGTGGAATCCTGATTCGTGGTGCTATCCACCGAGCAAGGTCTTCTCGAAGGACGTAACTGATCCAGCTCTTCTTCAAGCTCGAGCACTTTTCCTTTCAGTAAATTCTTCTCTTGTAGCACTTCACGTAACTCAGCTAGTGTGAACCTTGGCGCATTATCGTTCTCTTCCTACAAACAATACATCATGAACCGAACTCATCGCTCACCTTCAAAAATTACACAACAGTTGAATATTCCGTGCGGAATTGTATTTCAATTAATGAATAAATCAAAACTTCAAGTTTCAATAATCATCAGAGTCAATTCAGAACGTCGTCGGATCAAAATGTTGAATTTGAATTAATTTCTGGAAATATCTTGAGAGGGGTAACTGCCCAAAGCACAGAATCAACTGAAAAAGGGAACGACCAGCTGGCTTTGTTGTAGATCTTTGCATTGCCGAGAGGCATCCTTGAACAGTTTAGTCAACTTGAAATTGGCTTCTTCGGTTTGCTGAAGACGTTTGATAATTTCACTCTTCTCCTCCACTAGCATTCGTCCTTGTTTTTGCAATGAACCATTCTTACGCAACAACTCTTCGTTTTGTCGAATCAACTTCTCAATACTATTGTGTAACTGAAATGTTGCTAATTATAAGCACGTCTCGAGCAATTTTTGTCATTCAATTCAATTTTGTTTTTGCGCTTGCCTAGTCTGATACTTTGATTTCAACTCCTGAATCATTACACGTTTGTTCCGTTGAATAAGCAAGCTCATTTGACACCTCCAAACTCCATTAGAACCTTTAACCTTCATCTTTGATCGTCGACGTACGATCATGAATTGCATTCATTATTTGCAACTTTTGATTTGATCGAAGACAAAAATCAATTTGACTCAATTTTGATTTTGATCTATCATATTGAATAATATGTTTTTTTNACCTTCATCTTTGATCGTCGACGTACGATCATGAATTGGTGGACTGCATTCATCATTTGCAACTTTTGATTTGATCGAAGACAAAAATCAATTTGATTCAATTTTGATTTTGATCTATCATATTG